GTAGGAAAGGCAGTGGAATGAGGTGGACATCATTATTCTAAGTACATGTTATATGTATAAAGACACAAATGGTGTAACTACATTGTCTACAACCAGAGATATGAAAAATTGTGCTATATATGTGTATTATGAATTATAATGCATTCTGCTGTCATATAACAAATTAGAATAAATTAAAAAAAACATAGACAATAAAACAGTGATTATTATGGGGGGGTGGTAAAATGTGGGTCAAAGGATACAAAATAACAGGTATGTAGAATGAACCAGTGTAGAGATCTACTTACAACAGGAAGACTAGAGTTAATAAAAGTATTACATTTGGGATTTTTGTTAATTAAGTAGATTTTAGCTGCCATTGTCACACATATTTTTAAAAATGATGTGAAGTGATAGATATGTTACTGTGCTACACCATAGGAACCATTTCACTGCCTACCTATATCCTGTAACATAATGTTGTAGTCTTCAAATATATATAATAAAACTTATTTTAAGAAGATCAAGCTTTGTTGGGTGTGATGGTGTGTGCCTGTAATTCTAGCTATTTTGGAGGCTGAGGGAGATGGATCACAAGTTCGGGCAACTTAGTGAGACTCTGTCTCAAAATAAAATAAGAAGGGCTGCGGATGTAACTTAGTGTTAGAGCATTTGCCCAGCATCAGTGAGGCCCTGGATTCAATCCCCAGTGCCACAAAAACAAAACAAGTTTTGAGGTAGAATATGCAGTCTATATAATGGAATGAATGTGTTATGTGAAAAAGAGGATGTGTCAAAGACGTTCCTAAATGTTTGGGTTTTGGCTGGGTAAGGAACGTCGTTGGTAGGGTAAAAATAAAATAAAGATATTGTGTCCACCTACAACTAAAAATATATATATTAAAAATTAATTAAAAAAGAGGTCTTCTCTAAGTTGTGGTCTATTTTTATTAAATTTTATATAATATTTTATATTTCATACATTTTAATATGTACTACTAAATATAATCAAACGTATATTGCTAAAATACATTCACTACTTAATATATAATATTGATAGAAGACTGGTTAAAAAAATAAATGGAATGATATTGAAAACCCTTTGGCTACTTTTAAAAAAAATTTTTTTTTAATTTTTTTAGTCGTTGATAGACCTTTATTTTATTTATTTATATGCGGTGCTGAGACCCGAACCCAGTGCCTCACACATGCCAGCCAAGTGCACTACCACTGAGCCACAGCCACAGCCCGCCTTTGGCTACTTTTAAAACAATATTTTTAGTTATTCATTAAGGGAAAGTTAGCTCTTTTTAAAAATAAATGAAAATTTAAAAAGCAAAGTCTATAATACTGCATTGAGAGGAGGATAATCTAGAATCTAAGCCTTAGGATAAATGTGTTGATTTGTTATTAATAACTATTTTCCCCTCAACATTTGAAAGAATGGTGACCTACTTGTCACCAGAAGTCTAGTTTGATACACCAGCTTTTAGTGTGGCAGTTTTGAAAACATACTGAATCTTATTAAACTACCAGATTGCTATTTATTAATGATTCACTTTTCATGAATTTATCATCCATTAAATCATTTTTTGAAATAATTATTCTTCTAAAGGAATATTAAATGCTCTCGTGTTTTATGTATTTGCACATAGAAATATGTAATTTCATCTCTCATTTGCACTATTTTAAGGGATTAGGGCTGCCATAAATCTCATTAGTAATATTAAAATTGTCTTCCCTTGACGGATGCTTCATGTTCTATCTAAATGAACAAAGTTTATAAAGAAAAAGGAAAGCTGGGTTCTGTATTTCCCATCTACTCAGGATTTTGAGGCAGGAGGATAACAAGTTTGAGACTAGCTTCCACAATTCAATGAGACCCTGTCTCAAAAATTTTTAAAGGACTAGAGGTGTAGCTCAATGGTAGAGTGCCTCCTGGGTTCAATCCCCCATATAAAAAAAAAAAAAAAAAGGAAGACCTTCCAAAATTGCTGAGAATTTGTTTTCCTTTTAAGTTTACAGATTAGAATGTAAGTAATAGTATTTAGTGTACAAGTAGAATTTATGTCAGCATTAAAACAAACTTTTAATTTTGTATTGACATAAATTTCCTTTGTATTCTACAGGTATAAATTAATCATGTTAATATCGTATAGATTAGAATGCCTTTTTTACTAATAAAAACTCCATGGGGCTGGGATTGTGGCTCAGTGGTAGAGCACTCACCTAGCATGTGCGAGGCCTTGAGTTCAATCCTCAGAACCACATAAAAAAATAAATAAATAAAGATATTTAAAAAAAAAAAAAAAGCCCTCCAGAGTCTAGATTTGAAATAACTGTATCAAAATGACTATAAGACAGAGAGCTGGTAGCTTCAGGCAAAGCAGAATTAAATTCTAGATTAAAAAATTCTGGAAAATACTAGTATGATTGTTTCCTGTAAACATATATATCCCTGTAACATTATAAAGCATCTCCCTGTGCTTTATTTTTGCCTATTAGCTAAATTTAAGAAAATGAAATTTTACAGAGAAATAATAATTCCTTCTGTTGGCTCCCAAACATAGTCACACATTTAGCAGATGGTGAGACATGACTTAACAGCAGTATTTTCTTTTTTTTTTTTTTTTAATATTTATTTTTTAGTTTTCGGCAGACACAATATCTTTCTTTGTATGTGGTGCTGAGGATCGAACCCAGGCCGCACGCATACCAGGCGAGCGCGCTACCGCTTGAGCCACATCCCCAGCCCAACAGCAGTATTTTCTAAAACAACTTGGGGGGTTTCATTGACTGTAAGCTCAAACTGGGAAGCAGCTTTTCCTTAGATTAAGGAAGAACTTTTGAATGATTAGAACTATTAAAAATGGAATGACTAAGGTGGAGGTATATATAGCTTAGTGATTGAACTTGAATGTAGGGTGTGCATCATGCTGTGTTCAGTCCTGCGTATACACAAGAATGACTGGCTTTTGGGGGGATTGTGGTAAATTCATGTCACTAGAGATTTACAAGAAGGGACAGACATGTTCCTGCCAGGGACTTTGTATAGGGTGTAGACCACATACTTCTCAAGATCTACCCAACTCTGTTAACTGGTTAGATTATTTCTCTCATAAAAGTGATACACAAGGTGCTCTCTTATACAAAATAGTTACTTAACCTGTGATGCCCTTCCTTTCTTGCATTCCCTCTTTTTTATTGGTTATTGAAATAAAGTGGACATCTGGAAACATGCACATATCATAACTGTCCGCAGCATGGTGAGTGAAGAGTCATGCATCCAGTCCCTCACTGCAGGAGCATCCAGCGGTTCCACTGAGTGCTCCTTCCATTCACGAGCCACCCCACCCTGGAGCTATGGCTGTCCTGACTTCTAACAGTACTCAGGCTTGAGACTGAGCTGCTTTATAAATGGAATCTTTTTTTTTTTTTTTTTGTACCGGTGATTGAATCGACCACTGAGCCACATCCCCAGCCCAGTTTTGTATTTTATTAGAGACAGGATCTCACTGAGTTGCTTAGCATTTCCCCTTTGCTGAGACTGGCTTAGAACTCAGAATCCTTCCACCTCAGCCTCCTGAGCAGCAGGGAGTACGGGCGTGTGCCACCGCTTCCAGCTGGAATCATTCTCTTTTGTGTTCGGCTTTGCGTGTTATATCTTGAAGATTCATACCATCACATGTAGAGCATTCATTTCATTGCTGATGTGAGACTATAAGAATTGATTTATTGATGGGCATTTGAATAGTTTCCTGCTTGGGGATTTTTTTTTTTTTTTTAACAAATAGTATGTTGTTATGAACTTTCTATAGACAGTGACACCACCATATGTACCATGTATGCATGCTTCTTTTGGGCTCATACAGCTAAGAGTAGAATTGCTTTGTTATTGAATGTACACATACTCAACTTGCAGTTACTACCAACTGATTTAAAAGCATTTGTATTCAGGACCAATTCTTTGTGTGTGCATTGTACTGAGGATTGCCCAAGGATGCTCTACCACTGAGCTACATCCTCAGCCCTTTTTATTGTATTTTGAGACAGAGTCTCACCATGTTGCCCAAGGCAGCCTTGAACTTGTGGTCAGTTGACTCAGGACCAATTTTAACAGGGTCCTACCATATCAGAAATGTTAATTTTCCTGAAATCTCATGAGCATTTTTTATACCTTACAATATTTTGATAACTTTGTATTTTGAACTATGGTTGTTTTATACATACACCTTATCTCCCTTTCTACATTGTAAGCTTCTTGAGAGATCTATCTCATTTATCTTTGTATTTTCCAAAGTATCTTGCACAGTACCTTGCCTAAACTAGGCTCCAAACCTGATATTTTTATGCAGGTGGATGAATAGGAAAAGTATATGTAGTATTAATATTAGGAATGTTCATACATTGAAAAAATATAAACAGAAGATGCAAAAGCAACAAGGGCAATTTTCAAGGACTGAACAGAGTTAATATATTGATATTTATTCAGATTTTTCTGAATTTTATAAGCTTTTATATGTGAGAAATTACTATGAAGTTGAGTTGTGGATATCAACTAGTAGAATTAAAGCCTGGTGTTATCTTCCACATAGACTCTTGTGAATATTACTTCACACAGGCTGCATTTGTGGAAATGGATTTGAAGATTAATGAGAGGATGCAGAAGAGATGAGAGTTGTGTGTTAGAGTAGTACTGACAACACCATAACCCTGGTTGAGTCTCAACTTTATCCTTCCTCTAGATCCTTCTGAGGCAAGAAGTAATGATTTCACTAGATATGGTAGGAAGGCCAAATTTTATGAGCCAAATAGAATTTTAGTAGCTTTTTAATGAAATATGTTAATGTTGAAAATTGTTAAGTTAGAATAGTAAAGATTTGCAGGTGCTTTCCCTTTTCATATTTTTCTCCATATTCCAGATTCTATTCAAAGAATACATATTACTTTTAATTCAGAAAACTTTAAAAATAATTTTTGTTACAAGAATTGCTTTTTTAACTGCCTTTCATTTATTTCAGTCTTGGCCTGACTATGAGGATATCTATAAAAATGTGATTGAAGTTGCCACATTTTTAGATTTGCCTCGTTTTCCAGACATAACTGAAGCCTGCTACCTTCATCCCAATGTCCTGAGTATGAAATACCTAATGGAAGTGAATCTCCCTGGTAAGGTGTGGTGTCTATGGTGAGGGGTGTCACTGCTGAGATTGTGAGAAGTAGAATGTAGAATCCCTTTCCAGTCATAGACTACTTAGAGCCACCTGAAAGGGTCCATAGTAACATGAGGCTTCATTACAAAATCCTTTCTTAAAAGAATTCAGAAATTTAAAATGGTTAAAGGACAACTCTTCAGAAACAAAGGTCTATCTTAGTGTGAGAGATTTATGCTTGAGAGAATATATGTGGTGTTTATAGCAAGTTTGCTGAGTGCAAGCAAAGTAGCAAATATTTTAGTATGTGTCATTAATGACCTGCTTTAAAAAAATGTAGCACTTCTTTATTTGCACGAAGCATTATTACTACATAATGAGTTCTAACTTTAAAAAAATCCCAGAAGTTAATCTGTGGTAACGTTTTTGTTGTTCGATAGCATTTGCTATTTCCAGTCTCTAAAGTAAACAAAGATGGGAGTCTGGTCAGATCACAATGAACTCTCGGAGGCACTGACAGCCTTTAAAGAGAGCCTCACTGTGCCTTGCTCACAGTACACCAAGACACAGGTAACCCTGATGGAATCTGCTGATGGAAGCCAGCCCTGAATTTCTTGCTAGACTAGAAATGTGAGAAATTCAGGACTTTTATTAAGAGAAAATGCAAACATGTTATGATTACATCATTGTTTAAGCAATATCAGAAATGTGATTGAATGTATTTTTGTTTTAAAATTGGGTCTTATGGGTTGCCCAGAGTGGTCTCGCATTTGTGGGTTCAAGAAATCCTCCCACTTCAGCCTCCTAAATAGCTAGGAAGATAGGTGTGTGCTACATTCGCAGTTGGAATGCATTTTAAAGGAGGGAAAATGCATATGTGAAAAAAATGCATATAATCAACAGTCTATATACATTAGCTAGTTATGAAAGTAGAACTGTTAGTAACAAATATCAATGTCTATAATTTTAAAATATTTTTTAAAACAGGAACAAAAATAATTTAAGCTTTCCAAATGTATCATTTATAAACCTAAGAAATGTGATTTAAATGAGATTTGAAAAGACACTATTTGATCAGAACTCCAGAATTTCTTATTTCTGTATTTTGATGTGTAACAGATCAAATTACTCTTTGGATTTTTGTAAATACTTCTTCGATGGTTCTCACAGGGATGGAAAGTTTTTGTGTTTTATCACATATTCTAAAAAACTTGAACTTATAAAGAATAGGTTATGGAAGGGACACATGGATTACCAAAATGTGATAGTCTGGTTAATAGCTAGTGTAGTTCTCATGTTTGTTGTGCAGAAAGAGGGTAACAGTATTTTCTGGATGCTATTGTATAAAAGTATTTCTTACCTGATTCTTCCTGAGAAGAATGAGTAAAATTAAATGTACTTTAGTATATGCAGAGAGACATTATTGTCATTTGGTATTTATTAATTGATTTTGGAGGCAGTATAATAAAGGACCAGGGAAGAGAAATTTCACTTCTTGAAATCTGTTCAACAGAAATAATTTGAAATATGGGAAAAAATTATATATAAATTTTACTGGTCTCCTTATTTATAATACTGAAAAATCAGAAACAACTTAAAAATCCAACAAAAAGGTAATATTTATATAAATGATATGTATATATAATTATTGCAACATTATCTACCTTTTAAAACAATGTTTATGAAGAGTACATAAAAGATGTTTGTTATTATAAAAAAAAACAAGCCAAATTATAAAATAACATGACCACAGCTACATGAAATGAAAAATATTAAAAGTAAAACACCAAAATGTTAAAGGAGATATTTCTAAGTTGTATTTCATGATTTTGTTCCCTTTCTTCTACCTTTATTATCCTATAAATGTCCTATATTGAGTTTGTTTTATTACTTAGCAGGGGAAAGTAGTTAGCAATTTTTTTAATCAAAATAGGTCTACAAAATAAGATGTGATGGGGCTGGGGATGTGGCTCAAGCGGTAGCGCGCTGGCCTGGCATGCATACGGCCCGGGTTCGATCCTCAGCACCACATACAAACAAAGATGTTGTGTCCACTGAAAAATAAATATTAAAAAATTAAAAAAAAAAAGATGTGATAATCCTTGAACTTTAGGATTGAGATTTAAAAATGTCTGAAATTGGTCACAAACCACCCATACTTAAGATTGTAAGAGGACCTCTGCAGTGTGTTCAGAATTCATAAATACTCCTCTCAATAGTGCATTCGGTTGTATGATGCCATTGACCAAAAACCAGAGAGCTATGAATTTGGTGCTGTTACATAGACACACTCCTGGGCCCCTGGAGGTGACTTGAGTATGCTGAGGCAACAAACGCCCTTCATTTGTTTCAATATTGATTGACTGATTATCTCAAGTAATGGTTGCTTATATGGATACACATGTTAACTACAATCTAGTTAGCCAAAGAATTTAATTCACATCTTATTGTTTTGTTCTTCAACAGATGAAATGCATGGATTAACCTGCCAAGTGGTAAAAATGACTGGAATAGGAGAAGTAGATTTCCTAACATTTGATCCCATAGCTAAAATGGCAAAAGCTGTTAAATATGACATACAAGCTGTAGCTGTCATTGTGGTTGTATTGAAACTGCTCTTTTTATTGGATGACAATTTAGAATGGTAAGTCTGTGTCAGTCATACAGCAAGTAATGCTTTCTTGTGCTAATCTTAGCTTTTGTTAAGTGGTAGGGTAAACATTGCTTTTACCTAATAATTCAAAGTTGAGGATTCCATGTGTTATCTCAGTGAGAAACTGTAGATATTGGCTAGTACCATGTATGTGTCACTACATTCTCAGGTAGTGCTTTGGCTTCGTGGATGTCAGTCATTTGACCATATTTCATTCATAATCTTTAGGTAGCAGTGTTTCTCATTACTCCATGCTTCTGAGTTTTAAAATATTATCATAAATCCTAAAGAATCATTTCAGCATTTCATCTAGATACCTTTAGGCTTCTGGCATTGTCTCTTAAAGATTGTCTTAGAACATAGAGGAATTTTACAGTGTTACTCCTTCCAAATGACAACAAAGGGTGATAGTATTCATAGGGTCTTCTTCCCTGCTTCAGTGATTGCTTCTCCACGAAGATTTGACATCAGTTTCAAATTACTGTTTTCTACTTTTCTTTAAGAAAAATTCAAAATTTAACTGTCTAAATACATGATTTCTAAGTAAATTGATTTATTGTTATCTCCAGGTCTTTGTCTGATCTTGCTGAAATACATAATGAAGAGAACAAGCAAGGTACTTAATTTATCAGTCAAATGCAAAGTGAATGTAGATGATGGATTAAAAGATGAAAGAAATGTAGGGGGAAACTTGAATAATACACATGTGCACATATTCATCTATACAAATGCACCTTGTTTACCAGGGTTATTTTTTCATAATTATCTAGTTATATCTGTGGACTACTAAGAAATTTCAGTGACTCTTTACTTTCAACTTCCCCTCTTTAGCCCGGCTAGACAATGAACTTACCATCAACTTTCTGACATATCACCCTGTCTGTTCTGATGCCTCAGCCTTTGCTCCTGCTTCTCCCTCTGCCTGAGTGCTCTTCCTTCTTATCCCTCCGTGGTAGTACTCACTGTATATTCTTTCTAGAATATATGCAAAATAAAACACTTCTTTCTGTACAGTGCTCATGTTGGCATCTATATATATTGAAAGATGTTTTCTAATGTCCTTTGTAATGCTAAAGGTGATCCACCGACTGTGTAATGTGGGGGTAAAGAAAGCACTCAAACCTGTCTTCCTTAGAGGCCTCAGAATCATTGCTGTCAGCAGGGCAAGGATTATTGTTCCCATGTCTCTGTTCCCCTGTTGTCCTCCATTCCCTTCCTCCCCTCATTGAGGAGGAGACTGAGAGTCAGAAAAATTGTGGTTTACTAAGGTCAAAGAACCTTGAGTTGTATTAATTATTACAGTTGTCCTCTATGCTTATAATTCTTTTGGTAGTTTGCTTTCCCCTCTGGCTGTATACCTACAAGGCCATATTGTTTTAGGTCAAAAATGTTTTTAGACATTAAAGACACTGTCTTTGTTGGAGTATAGTGGAGAATAATCCCCCTTTATCCTTGACTGTGCTCAATGCTGTTGTACTTAATGTTGCTGCATTTTGAACACACACCAGATGTCCAATACATTCCATTTTCTTCCTTTTCTCTAGAATCTGAATTAGGATTAGAAAGAACAGAAATAGTTGCTGATGAAACTAGAAGTCTGTATTCAGCTGTTATAGCACATTTCACACATTTATCATTTGCTTTTCAATTCATGTGTTTGCTGAACATGTTGGAGCAGCGTCAGACTGTGTGTGCTGGCTATTGGAATTGGGGTGGGGAGGAGACCTGATTGTGTAGTGACAAACAAAATATTCCATTCTCAAGGAGGTAACAGTCAAGTGTAGGAGAAACCGACACTTCAGAAGATGGTTACAGTGTAATATTGGGGTGGGGGGGCACAGTACAGGTAGGAACTTAGAGGAGGAGTGACAAACTACTCAGGAAAGTCACATTAGAGTATGGGAACAGTGACTCCATTCATCATTTCCAAGTGCTATTATGTAAATCTTTCCTTACTTCAATGAATAAAGACCCAAGTGAACAGTGTATGTTATTATTATGTGATTTATTTTGCTAATAATCATGGATTTCATTTATTTCAGATAAGCCATGGTTTGAGTTCAGAAAGTGGTATCAAGTCATGAAGAAAGCCATTGATGAGAAAAGACAAAAATGGGTGGAAACAAGAGCAAAGTATGTTTTCTTCTCACTTTAGATTCACCTACTTTATTTCTGTGTCAGTTACTTTACATTTGAAAGCTGAAATTTCTATACTTTTCAGTACTGTGACTTTTTTCCTAGAAATATCATTGTAGCCCTATACATTCTAGTTAACTTTTTTTTTTTTTGGCAGTCCAAGGAACCAATCCAAGAGTCTTGGGCCTGCTGCTCATGCCCTACCACTGAACTATACCCCAGGCCCTATTTTCTCCATTTTTCCATTACTAATAACTATTAACCAACACACGCTCCCCTTTTATTTTTTATATTTCGCCAGTTTTTCATTGAAATCCACAGGGTACTACATTGTCCTTAGTACTTTGCTTTATACAGTTTGCATGAGTCTTGCTTGTGTTTCTAATACTCCTCCCTCTTCCCTTCATCAAAATTAGTGATTTCCCATCTATGCCTCCCATTATTACAAAGGTTACAAATGAAATGAAACCCTGTGATATATTTACTTGGAATGTTTCCCCCAAATAATGATCTCAGTGAAAATCAAAAACAAAGGGAAGAAGTCAGCAAGTATATTTAATTCAGTTAACCTCGTTGCTTGATTTCTCTTTGATCTGTCATTCAGAGGTAGGTCCATTGTGATAGAGAGGAAAAAGCAACCCTTTAGGGATAGATAGTGCTGGGTTTGAGTGTGATTACATTATAGACTAGTGTGACTTCACTTTCTAGCCTCAGTACACTGAAATTCTAAACACTTATCATATAAAGTACATTTCCATTTATCTCTCACATGGTTTCATATATATTCCTAGAACTTTAAATCTTTATGAGATGTTGAAGAAAATGTCAACATCTCTGTTGTTTATGTAAATGTATAATAGTACTAATTCTATCAAGTAATTATGTCCTTTTGGAAATATTTAAATTCCTCAGATTATTTAAAAGAATAATTTACTCAGCTTCAGTTTCCTTATCAGTAAAATAGGGCTCTTCAGCTTTCATAGCAGGTATGCTTCAGAAGACCACTGGTCTTGTGGGACTGGCTGATTGTGAGAGTCCTTGCAAGAGGCAAAGAATATTGTACACAAAGATTCTTGATGTTCTTGATCAAATTTCTAAAAATGCAGCCATGTAGAAAATATACAGAACAGGTTACAGATGAGAAGCTGGGTTTGATTAAAGCAGAACCAAATGTTAAAAAATTAGAAAGCCAATTTCGGTTTACCTACTTTAAGCTGGAAATGAACTAAGTCCGGCAAAAATAACAGTACAGTGGCAGTCATTAGTGGAAGTGCCTCCCCGCAACTAGTGGGCATGACTAGTGTAATCCTCATTACATGTCTTTGATTGCTTGATGGGAAACTAATATAATTAAATGTATTATATTAAAAATATTTCCACATTATTGACATCTTACAATCAAGAAGACTGATATAGGACATGTTTAGGAAACTTGTTAAAATTAGTGGTTATGGTAATGGGGTCTTTGGAATCAGTTTTTTTTTTACTTGATCATATTCACTCAGATTATTTCAAAGATGGTAGTTCTCTGAATAGAAAGGTTATAGGAAGTTTTGAAAGTTAAGTAAAATTTTTCTACATATTTTCATAAAGAGGACATAATTGAAAGATGAAGTTTCTTTAGTACTATCTTTAGCATGTTACTTTTTTAAAAAAAATTTTATTATCTTGAGAAAAAAAGAAAAGGTACTTTAATGTAGTTATTATCTAAACAAATTTGTTGGTCACTGTTTGAGTGAAGATACTCAGTTATGAGAAAAATGGTAAAAATAGTTTGTGATTAAAATTTTAAAATGTGGCTATAATCCTGTGTGTAAAATAAAATGGGTCTTAGTAGTTACGAGAGCAGCAGCAAGAGCAAGAGACCATCTTGGAGAGTCTGTGTTCCTTCTGTGGTGTGTATTGGGGTCAGTCCTGATGATTCTGAGGGCCCGGAGCTCGAAGGCCATGCTGCCCAGTGTCTTGGAGGTATTGAGGTATTACTTATCCCAACCCACTTCACACTTCAAACATGGCCCTGTTCCTATTGTACTGTTACAGTCAGTGTAGACTTAACAGACATTTTGCTACTTCAGGGGAGAATTTAATAACTAAAAAAAGTAAATCTGTATATAAAATGCCATTTTCCATGGGGACTCCAAGCCCTAGGGAGGTTGTCCAGGGTCTGTCTTACCACAGTCCTCCTTCATAGAGTGTGTGCTACAGACTAATCTACACATGTGGTGTGAATCACCACTGACTAATTTTAATCACTACCACCTAATGCTGGCACAGGGCGCTGTGCAGTCACCACCTGTACCTGTTTGTTCTTCCCTATCTCTCTCCATTTTAAAATACCAATTTCTTTTTTCCTTTCCTTTTGTAGTTTGTTTGTTTTCAGTGCTGACAACTCTAAATTTCTAATTTTTCTTTCTGTTCCTCTAGATATCATCTTCCATGTTGTCAGATGAAAATGATTAAAACACTTTCTACAGCTAATCATGGGTCCCTATGCATGAGATGATAAAAAACACTAGTAAACAATAGTTGGAAACCCCAAAAAGATTACTAAGCTGCTTTAGTGACTTATTTGTCATAGGATGTATTGAGAAGAACATGGAAAAACATTTTAAAGCATGTAGAAGAGCCCTGTGGCCTTTTGGGTTAGGCAGAAATTTCTTATATGATATCAGAATCATAATTTATGTGTGAAAAATATTGATGAATTGGACTTTATCAGAAGAAATTTTCCTCAAAAGACACTTAAGAGAATAAGAAGCCAGATATTGAAAGAAATTATGTATAAATCACCTATCTGATAAAAGATTTTTATCTATAATATAATAAGAAAACAGCTCAGTTTTTAAATAAACAGACCAAAGATGATGTATTGATGGCACATGAAAAGATACTCAGTATTATCAGTTAGTAGGAAAGTACAAATTAAAACCACATACAATATCCATTACAACAGATTAGAATGACTCAAGACAAAACAAAAACAAAAACTAATCATACCAAGTGTGGGATTGCAAAATGGTACAGCCATTTTGGAACATTTGGCATTTTCCCATAAAGTTAAGCATATATTTAATTACAATATCAAACACTTTCCACTCCTAGATGTCTACCCAAGTGAAATGAAAACTTATGTTCATACAAAAAACTGTACAGAAACGTTTATAGTGGATTCATTCATATTCATCCAAAACTGGCAGCAGTCCAAATGTCCTTCAGCTGGTGACTGGATGAACAAACTGGTATATCCATACAATGCAGCACCATTGAGCAATGCAAAGGAACAAATCTACATCCAACAGTGTGAAATAATCTTAAATGCATTATGCTAAATGAAAGACTCAAAAAGTTACCTAGCATGATTCCATTTATATTATATTCTGAGCAAGGCTGAACTTATAGGAACCAAAAAAGCAGACTAATCATTGCCCAAGGTCAAGGTATGGAAAAGGACCTGGAAGATTTTTGGAGTGATGGAATGTTCTGTATGTTAATTGTAGTGGTGATTATATAACTATATGTGTGTGTTTGTTTTATTTTGATACAGGATCTCACTAAGTTGACTTAGGGCCTTGCTAAATTGCTGAGGCTAGCTTTGAACTTGCAATCTTCCTGCCTCAGCCTCTCCAGCCACTGGGATTACAGGCACTCAGTAATGTGTGTGTTAATGCTAATCATAAGTACACTGAAAAGGATGAGTTTACTATATGTGAATTATATTTAAATTTTTATAGTTATAGATGGATAGAATGCCTTTATTTTATTTGTTTATTTTTATGTGGTGCTGAGAATCGAACCAGTGTCTCATGCATGCTTGACAAGCGCTCTGCCACTGAGCTACATCCCCAGCCCTAATTTTTTTTTTTTAAATAGGGAAACAAATCACATAGAGATGAAGAAAATATGCAAGTGTCTTCCAGCTAGAAAACCCTAAGGCCTTTGTGGCATGTTTTTTTTGTTGTTGTTGTTGTTTTTTGTTTTTTGTTTTGGTAGCTTTATGTAATGGGAAGAGGAAGGTACAGTATAGCAAAGTTTTGAAGAAGCTGTAGTTTCAGAGGGGTTGTCCAGACAGTTGAGCATTGTTATCTTAAGTCACCTTTCCTATCCTCTGGGCATGTGACTCTAAGGAAGTAATAATGCCTCCTTGATTTTAGCATGATTGCCACTTGTGGAGGTGTTTATTATAAATGAATAAAAAGCACCTATCTAGGCTAGGCATTCTTAAGAAATGTTTACAGTGAGGGGCTGGGGGTGTGGCTCAAGTGGTAGCGCGCTTGCCTGGCATGCATGAGGCGCTGGGTTCGATTCTCAGCACCACATAAAAATAAAATAAAGATATTGTGTCCACCTAAAACTAAAAAATAAATATTAAAAAAAAAAAAAAAAAGAAAGAAAAAAAAAAGAAATGTTTACAGTGAGTACACCCATGGACTGCGATTAGACTATTGAGTTTGGGGAACTTCTTTATTACTTTAAGTTTTGTTACTTTTATCATTTAAGAAAATAAATTTTATAAAAAGTGAAGACAGACTCAGCTACCATAGGGTTAAATGAGAAGCTCTCAGATTTATTTTATTTTTTTTAATATTTATTTTTTAGTTATAGGTGGGCACAATATCTTTATTTTATATTTATGTGGTGCTGAGGATCGAACTCAGTGCTCCATGCATGCTAGGCAAGCGCTCTACCTCTGAGCCACAACCCTAGCCCTCTCTGATTTATTTTAAATGTGGTATGCTTCACCAAATTTTAGTTTATACATAATTTTAGGAAGATTATCTCCTATGTTATACTGATTACAAATCTCTACTGCTTCCTGATATTTAGAGAAATTCATTTCTTTTCTTCTTTCTCTCTTGTTTTTTTATTTATTTTTTTATTTTTGGGGTTTTTTTTGTACTGGGAATTAAACCCAGGGACACTTTACCACTGAGTTACATTCTAGTTTTTACTTTGAGATAGAGTCTTGCTAAGTTGCTGAGGCCGTCCTTAAACTTTCACTCCTCCTGCCTCATCCTCCTAAGTTGCTGGAGTTATAGGCATGTGCCACTGCATCTGGCCTAGAGAAATTTTATTTCTGTTCTTAACATTTTAAATCACTGTGGAAATTTAAAGTAAAAAGTTAACCTCTCTCTTTTATGTATAGTCATGATTATACTGATTTGATTAAGTATTTCTTAAATCCTTGAAAATTTTCAATTTTTCCATTCATTAAAGCAATCATTTGCTATCATCGTATTGTTAAAACCCCTACTTTTATGAATATTTTATTTCCCTTGTTAAAAAGAATGGTAAAGGGACTGGGATTGTGGCTCAGTGGTATAGCACTTGTCTGGCATGTGTGAGGCACTAAGTTCAATCCTCAGCACCACATAAAAATAAATAAATAAAATTAAGATATTGTAACCCTCTACAGCTTAAAAAATATTTTAAAAAAAAAGAATGGTAAAAATTACCAATTGTAAGATACCACAGGTAGATAAATACAAATCATTATATTTCTGACTTCTTATTTCTTATCATCTTTTCCAGAAAGTCCACAGATAAGAAAGTGCCTACTAGCCAGGCAGTTAAGAAATATCTAGCTACATGTAGTGGCACACACCTGTAATCCCAGCAGCTTGAGAGGCTGAGGCAGAAGGATCACAAATTCAAGGCTATCCTCAGCAACAGTAAAACCATATCTCAAAAAAATAAAAAGGGTTGGAATGTAGTTCAGTGGTAGAACACCACTGGGTTCAAGCCTAGTACCGCAATGAAAGGAAAGAGGGAAGATCTAGATAATAAAAGGATTTAAAGAACCTGTACGTGTATTGTCTAAATTATTCCTCACACCAGTTCTGTAGTAAACTAATTAGAGATGTTAAATTAATTTGTTTATTCATTTATTCAATAACAGATATTTAAATGAGTCCCTATTGTATGCTATTCCTTCCCAACACTAGGGACATAAAGAAAACTGAGGTAGTCTGTGCCTTTGAGAATCTCCATCATTTGTCACTTAAGGTCCCTAGACCTTTCACTAGAAAGTGGCAGAGCCGGGTCCTCTGATTCAATGTTCTTTTCATTGCCACAGGTTATGAAAGTCCTTCACTTCAGGGAACTCAGAATGAAAATGAGATTTTAAATGAACATTGTTATCTTTGTTCCAGAGCTGCAGCATCTGCAAAGTTTAGCAGTGGTCACTATAACCAGAATCAAACATATCACTTCCCTTTGGCCTGAATTTAGGCCTGGTCACTGATAATCTATAGGAATGCGAGATGACTCTTAGTCTTGCCCCTGAGGGGATGCTGCAGGGCCGGCTTAATCCAACATCCCTGTTTTACAGTAAACCTCCCTGACTGGCTTTCTCTGGCAAGAATAGGTTGAGTCAGTGCAGGGAACACTAGTAGGGCTTTACCATCCTTGTTTTCACCAGGAATAGGATAGATTTCCAAAAAAGACTGGCATTTCTTGTCTACTTTATGAGTTTCAGAATCAGAAGTACCACTAACTTAGACGTCAGCAAAAGGCAGTCAAGGCAAAAGCGATAGGAACAATTTCTTAGATGGCTTCACTTTATCAGAATATAGATAAAGACAGAATATAGACAATATAGATTGTCTTGTATGTTCTCTTTTACAAATTGTGATAAAAAGCAAGGGAATTTTATAGTGAGAGAAACCTATTTTGTTTTGTGTAATTAATAGCTTCTTCAGGATGCGGCAGCATGGAAGGGAGAGCACCCCATTCTATTGGCCTGCTCTTACTTAGTTCTCCTTCTGGGGTGTGAGCTCTATAGACAGTGTAGACATGTGCCAATAGGCCATTCCAAGCCAGAGCTGTTAAACTGAATATCAGAAATTCCAGATACTGCGTGGAGAAACTGTCCTGAATTGTGCTGAGGTGCATTTTTTTTCTACCTTGCACAGGTACATGTGGAAAAGTGAAAAACCACTCTACTACTCACACATCGACAGACCAGTAGTATATAAAAGAAGAGGTGAGTTGAATTGTTTCTCACTCACGCAGGGTAGCTAACAACACAGTTGTAGAATAGCTAGATATCTTGACTTGAAAAGTGAATGCATAAATAAATTTCCTACTTCTTTGAAATGTTCTAATGCACATATGCAGAGGAGCATCCCCCTCTGCAAGGAGTCTCCGTAGGAATCTCTTTATTTGAGGAATGTGTCGTTATTCAAAACAGAGCTTAAGTTCCCATCAGAATCTAAAATCCTGTATTTTTATGACTTCTAAAGAATTTCCCTTAGATTGTCTTGTATGTTCTCTTTTACAAATTGTGATAAAATATATACATATATAATTCACCATTTTAATCATTTTTAAGTAGATCCCTTATGCCCCCATCTAGTTTCAGTTTTGCTTAAGTTACCATCATACTTTAGCATCACATGTTTGTCAAAACTGAGAACCCGACATTGCTATCAAGGGAACTCCAGGCTTTGTGATTTAATGTTAGTTTTTGTTTTATTCCTTTGTTCTTTTTCCTTCATTTCCAGAAATGGTGGTAAATCTGCAAAAGCAATTTAGTGCACTGGTTGATTCAACACCAACTATTGAAAAAAAAAGCCCTTCAAGTTTTCAGTTCAACTGGGCTAAAGAAGATGCTGATAGAACTTGTTTCCATGGACATAGCCTCCAGGGAATCCTGATAAAGAAAGGCCAGTCGCTGATGACCAAGAATTCATTATACTGGCTTAGTACCCAGAAATTCTGTAGAAGGTACGTGATGCTTTTAGAACACAAAAAAACAGGCATGATGAAATCTCCAGTTTGGCCTGAAGGTATAGTCTTTCTGATTAAAAAAAAAAAAAAAAATCACATATGTAAAAGAGCCAGAAGGTGCTGGTAATTAAACCCAGGCCCTTGAACATACTAAGTAACCACATACTCTACCACTGAGCTACGCCCCCCCCCCCCACCAGCCCACCAGAAGATCGTAAGCTTATAGTCAAGAAAATCAGAATTATGGACTGAGGCTGGGGCTCAGCCATAGAGCACTTGCCTAGCACGTGTGAGGCCCTGGATTCAATCCTCAGCACCACATAAAAATAAATAAATAAAATAAAGGTATTGTCTCCAACTACAACTAAAAAATATGTAAAACAAAAATCAGAATTATACGTTGAGTCTTATGTAAGAATTTAGGAAAGTTGGTAAAATCAAGAAATGTGATGTCTTGCAATTAACACAAGCTATTCCCACTAGCTAAATTAACCTGCAATGAGGCTGCCAAGCAGTAGAAGTGTCAGTGCTAATTCAGAGAACCCACTGTATTTTTAAATACATATTTTTTCTGAATGACATATATCATTCCCCTTTACGTCTTGGTGTTTCCTTAAGTATGTCCTGAGAATAAAGATATTCTGCTAGACTGATCTGATAGGTCTGTGCTTTTCAAAGGGTGCATGGGCAGATGTGTGGATATTCTTAGAGTTCATGCCATGTAGAACATAGTGAGCTATAAGGAGACCTTGACATAATTAAGATTAAATAGTCGAGGTTTTCTTCTCTGCTTCTCTTCCTGAACGGTAACTTCTGTAACTTAGACAGTTTCAGTAATACCATGATTTTATGTTCCACAACTATCTGCCCACTTCGCCTAGTTGAGACCACAGTCTAGAAGCACAGGGTGAACAAAAAAGCCTTCATCCAAGCAATCAAAATGTCACAAAAACCACAAAAAATTTATTTACTTCTCAGAGAGCTTGTAGACTGCCTCCAAGTGTGTTTCTGTCCAGCTGAGCTGTCTGATTTCCAGAAGCCTAATAATCGGGAAAAAAAAAATTAGAGGGATCTAATGGGTACTCTGCTTATAAATCACAACAAACATAAATGACAAACAATAGAGGAGGAGCCAGCATCAAATCCAAAGCATACAAAGGCACTCAAATTACAGTGGTTTGAAGTCCCTTCACGACGTATAACTCATGCCTCCATGTCACTGAGAAGGTCTGATGGTGTCTACTTTAACACAGAACTTGTCCCACAATGCTGTGTGCTTGCTTTGGATTTGTTTTTTGTAGCCATATTTGCCATATTTTCTAACTTTTACAATAAAGCAGACAGGTTGTAATAATATAAGTATAAAGGCTTTAAAAAAAACTACACTATGCTAATATGCTTAGTTCAAGATAGTCAAGAAAGCTGGGTGTAGTGGCACATGCCTATAATCCCAGTGACTCGAGAGGCTGAGGCAGGAAGATCACAAGTTCTAGGCTAGCCTCAGCAATTTAGTGAAGCCCTAAGCAACTTAGTGAAATCCTGTCTCAAAAAATTTTTTTTAATTTAAAAAGGGCTGGGGATGTAGCTCAGTGATTAAGTATACCTGGGTTCAATCCCCAGTACCAATAATAATAAGTAATACATAATTCATTTTTTAAAGATTTCCTTCCAGGTGGTTAAAATGAAGTCTTTGATGCTAAAGAAAGCAGACCTTCAGCTATATAGATAATTTTTTAGACAGGACTCACTTCTGAGGGTTTGGAAGAGACGCACTTTTACTGTAAAATGATGGTGAGAGCACTGGTGCTTGGAGAGCTAGGCAGAGCAGGGCCCCAGCAGCACTCCAGGGGGGAGAGTGGTTTGTCCCTCCCGAGGCAGAGCTAATATTCTGTGAATCTGCACCCTCACTGTTGTTCACTTGATAGTAGCCCCCATGTTCAGGTAGGCCAGTTATGACAACTGGGAGGTCAGAAGAGCAATCTTGACCTGCCTGTAAGGGGCAGATGGTTCACCTCTCTCCATAGGAGGGAGTGGAGCTGTGGTTTTCTAGTTCTGTTCCACAGGAAATGGAGGTGCTTTGTGGGTACCACAAAAATTTGATTTGAATATTTAATTGTTCTTTTAAAGCTATAGTGAAAAAGCAATACTCATATATGAACATGTTGGACACCACCAAAACATTAATTTGTGCTACCCAGTTTGCTTTTTGTGTACATTCAGAGACTATTCCTAATATCTTTCCCATACATTTGAACTTACCCTCTCTCTCTGGTACTGGGGATTGAGCCCAGGCATGCTCTACCACTGAGCTACATGCCCAGCTCTTTTTATTTTTATTTATTTATTTTTTTAATATTTTTAGTTGTTGATGAACCTTTATTTTATTCATTTATTTACATGCAGTGCTGAGATGCAAACCCAGTGCCTCACACGTGACGCAAGCACTCTACCACTGAGCCACAACCCCAGCTGTTTATTTTTATTTTGAAACAGGGTCTTGCTAAGTTGCCCAAGCTGAACTCGAAATTGTGATCCTCCTGTCTCCTGAGTAGCTGGGATTATAGACATGTACTACCAACCTGCATGTACATTTGAACCTCTAAGGAAGGTTATGCCTTTAAAGCACTATTGTCTTATAAATTTAGACCTGTTTTATTGGGCATAAAATTGTTTATATAAACATTTTGGGCTGGGCACAGTGGTGCATGCCTGTAATGCCAGAAATGCAGGAGGTTGAGGCAGGAAGATCCCAAGTTCAAGGCCTGCCTGGGCAATGTAGCAAGACCCTTTCTCAAAATAAAATAAAAATGGCTGGGATGTAGCTCAGTGGTAGAGCACCCCTGGGTCCAATCTACAATACCACACACGCGCACACACACATAAACAAAACAAAACTTGCAGCATCCTTTTACCATACTCATTTATGTTACATGTCAAGCAGAGCTCAAGAGACGTCACTTGTTCTACTCACTGCAGAATGAATGGCAATGATGTGTAACTGATGTGATTCTGCAATCTGTGTATGGGGTGAAGGTGGGAGTTCATAACCCACTTGAATCAAAGTGTGGAATATGATATGTCAAGAAATTTGTAATGTTTTGAACAACCCACAATAAAAAATTAAAAAAAAAAAAAGAATGAATGGCAATGAGAAGTTAATAATGTGCTGTATTTTGTTTTATAGCTTATAACTTTAGTGAAGATTTCTGAGTTTATGATAAAGCAGGTATCCATTTTAAGTTGTCAGTGGTTTAACTTGGAAATAACAAGTTCTTAGTGTATCAGGGATGTCTGATACCTTTTCTTATCTTTCTGGGGTAGAAATAGAGCTTTCCTTATGGTCCGTAAGTTCACTTTTTGTGTGTGTGTGTGTGTATGATAACATTTTGTCTGAAAAAATCTCAATATAACTGAAAGTAAAAGGGAAGCAAAACAGGGCTTGGGATGCATCTCAGTGGTGAAGTGCTGGCCTAGGGTGTGCACGGCCCTGGATTTAGTCTCCAGTACCCTCCCCGCAAAAAGGAGGAAAGCAAGAAATCACTGCATTTGGAGGAATTACTATACATGGCTTATGTTTGATCTTTATTAAACCAAGCAGTGAACAGATGATACAACTTTTAAATTCCCTACTAGTTGACTTTATTCTGTATTATTAAAGTTACCTTAAGATTTTAAGTGGAAATGAAAAATGTTTAAAGTGAACATTTTTGAGCCCTTAGTATGTGCCAGGCACTAGGTTAAGTGCTAATATGTATTCTTACTTAATCTTTTTATCAACCCTGAGAGGTGCAAATGCTGTTGTGTTTTTTTGTTTTGTTTTAGGTTTTTTTCCTAATTTACAAATGAGAGAACTAAGAGCAGCTATCTAGAGCCACAGATGATGGTGGCATAGCTTTATGATGCATATGTGATTCAGCAACATAGGCCCCATACATTATGTAAATCATAATATCTCAAATATTATTTGTTCACTTGCTTTTTAAACTGTATTAGGGCCAGTTCAAGCATATTCAAAAGTAGAGAGACAAGTATAATGAACCCCCTATGCTCAGCTTAGCACTTGTGGGCATGGCTAGTCTGCTTCACCCAAACACAACTCACTCCTTCATCCTTCTACCCCCATGGTATTTGGAAGCAGATCATAAACATTATAACAGTTGTAAAAATAAAACCCTGATACTATTAATCAGACAAGTAATTTTTAATATATTATCAAACATGCAGTCAGTGTTTAGATTTTTAGTTATCAGTTTTGTAATGAGTTTCACTCAGAATCTAAGTAAGGCCCATCTATTGCAAGTGGTTGACATATCCCTTCAGTGTTTTAGTTCCTATAGTTCCTCTCTTATCGCACTCCCCATCCCAACCCCTTACAATTTACTTATTGAGTAATGCAGGTCATGTGTCCTATACAACGTCCCATAATCTGGACTTTGCTGATTATAGGTCGTAGGATACCATTTTACATGTTCTTCTGTGCCCTGAATTGCTAATACTTTGGTGAATTGGAGATTGGTAGCATTAATTAGAGATTTGGTGATAGTAAGAGATTTGATCAGATTTATTTCTACTGTTTTAAAGTATATGAAAGTATATGGTAAATTCTTCTGTCAACATTCCATACAGTATGGCACTCAACATTATAGGTCTGGGATCTTATTTTGGATGGAAGTTGGGAATTATTTGTTTTCTTTTGTTAGCTTTTTAAAAACGTGCAATCCCAGCTACTTAGGAGGCTGAAGTAGAAGGATCACAAGTTTGAGACCTGCTTGGGCAACTTAGTAAGAACCTGTCTCAAAATTAAAAAAAAAAAAAAAAAGTGGGGGTTGTTGCTGAGGATGTAGCTCATTAGTAAAGCACTTGCCTAGCTTGAGTGAGGCTTTGGATTCTCTCCCCGACTGTTTTTGCTTTCTTTGACCATGTTAAGAAGAGGGACAGGGGCCAATGTGGAGTGGAAATAACTTACACACTCATGGTGGGGACTTACAAGGCCTGGTTCTTCATACACTTGTGTCCCTTGCATAGTGATTGCAGACAATGTGAAAGTGCTTTTTTTATATAATTAAAAAGTTTTGCCAGATTGATCTAAGTTTTCTTCTAACCCATAGTACTATTTTAAGGATAACTATATATACTTGCTAAGTTATTTGGGGGATGTGCAAAGGATGGGTGCATACATTTATGAATTACCATTTAAAGACAACTTAATCCTTTTTCTTCCCCTTCTAGCTACTGTAAACATGTGACAACCTATGAAGAATCAAATTTTTCTCTGAGTTATCAGTTTATACTCAATCTCTTCTCCTTCTTGCTGAGAGTAAAGACATCTCTTCTCCATGAAGAAGTGAGCTTAATTGAAAAGAAACTTTTTAAAAAAAAATATAGTGAAACAAAACAGAAATTTTCAAGATCCAGGAAAGTAAGAAGACATTGAAAAAATGAAATAGAAACTTTCTTGGAAAAATACTTCTAACAGTGAAGTAATGTCAAATTGTAACATAACATATAACATTCTAGGGTATTATGAAAAATATTACTGAGCATGCGCGTGTGCACACATACGCACATCAATTGTGTATAAAAATATGTATTGTAAAACAGGCGAAGGGCTGGGGAGAGCACTTGCCCAACATGCACAAGACCCTGGTTCTTTGAGAAATTTAAAACAATAAATTATATAAATGGTATCTAGAAATTGTATTCATTATTCTTTAAAACTAAATGTACTTTTAAAACTAGATTACTTCCTTACCCTTTATTACCACAACATAAATCCCAGATGGATCAGAGATATAAACATTACAATCTTTCACATATACATATGTAAAAGTTTTATAAGGAAATGAGTATGAATACTTCAGTGATCTTGGAATTGTGAAAGACGTCATAAGCATGCCACAGACCCAGAATCAAAAGAAAGGAAAAGACTGATAACATGACTACACAGACAGATGACAAACTGGGAAAATATATTTGCAGCGTATTATGGACAAAGAAATAATTTCTTTAGTATATCAAAAGTTCTCACAAAGAAATAGGAAAAAGACAAATATTGAGAGATATGTATGAAAAGATAGTTTTCTGAAAAAAAAAAAAGAAATAGGCATATCCAAAAATCAGGGAGTCAGTCTCACTCAAATTCAAAGAAATATAAACCAAAATAAAGGATAGGACCCACATATTAGATTGGTTAAAATTGTTAAAGGCTTATATCTGATAAGGACTTTGGAAAATCAATCATTCTTGCTCAAAGAATGCACAAATCTTACCTACAAATTTCTATATTCCAGTGACTAATTCTAGACACTGGGGATACAGCACTGAACAAAATCACTGCCTTGAGGATCATATGTTCTAATTAGGAGTGAGAAGATAGGAAACAACTACATATGAATGAAATACAAGGAAGAAAAAGCAAAATAAAAAAGCAAGGGATAAGTGATAAGGTGGGCCATTTTATAAAGGGTCATTGAGGGGGAATTTTCTGGGGAGGTGACATTTGAGCAAAGGCCAACTTGTAAGAAGTACAGTAAAGGGAGCAAGCCATGTAGCTATTCAGGGGAAATCATTCCAGCAGAGGGAAAAGGGGAGAGGCTCTGAGGTCAGAGCATACTTGATGGATTCACCTACTTGTTCAGAGTGGCACAAGTATGACAGCTGAAGGGGAGAGAAGTGGCAGAAGGGATGGAAGAGGTTGCCATGTGATTTCAAGGTGATGGTAAGGATTTTGGCTTTTATGCCAGGTGGCATCATGGGATGCCATTTTATAAGCAAAAGTTGAAAAAGCACATGCCTGTAAATTCCAGTAACTTGGGAGACTGAGGCAGGAGTGAGTTCAAGGCCAGCCTGGGCAACTTAGCAAGACCCTGTGACCCTGTCTCAAAAACTAAAAGGACTGGGGATATGGCTCAGTGGTAAAACACCGAGTTTAATCCCCAGTACAAAGGGGAGAAAAATGTTGAGAAGTTCCCCATCTGATCAGGAGTTGATGTCCTTTATTTCCAAACACTTTTTCTGCTTGAGTCAGTTAATACGGTAAATTATGTTGATTGAGTTTCAAATGTTAAACCAACCTTGCATTCCCAGGATAAACCTCACTTGGTCCTCCTCAATTTTGTACATTGTTAAATTTTATTTTCTAACATTTTGTTACATATTTCTGCATCTGTGTTCATAAGTCATATTCTGTAGCTTTATTTTCTTGTGATTATCTATTTTTTGTATCAAGACAATGCTGGAATCCCAGAATGAGTTGTCAACACTTCCTTCTGTTTTTATTTTTTTAGAAGCACTTTTGTGGATTTCTTTTTTATTCCTCAGCTGTTTAATACTAAAGTCCATCTGGAGCTGAATTGGGAAGGCTTTGTTTTGGGGAAAGTTTTTAAGTGTAAATCCACTGTCTTTAATAGAGAGCTGGGTTATTTCTTCTTGAGAAAGTTTCTCTCTTCTAAGACTTATGAAAATGAAGTCAGACCACAGGCCGGGGAAAAATATTTGCAAAACATATCAAACAAAGGACATATTTATATAAAGAAATATCACAACTCAGTAAGAAAGCAAACAACCCAATTAAAAATGGACAAAAGGCTGGGCGTAGTGGCATACAACTGTAATCCCAGGGGCTTGGAAGGCTGAGGCAGGAGGATTGTGAGTTCAAAGCTAGCCTTAGGAACTTAGCAAGACCCTAAGCAAATTAACAATACTCTTTCTCAAAAAATCAAAAGGGCTGGGGATGCTGCTCAGTGGTTAACCATCCCTGGCTTCAATCCCCAGTACCCCCCCCCCCCAAAAAAATCGGCAAAAGATTTGAACAAAGAAAATACACAAATAAGCCCATGAAAGGTGCTAAGTTTTACTCATTATTGGGAAAATGCTAATGAAAACCAGAATGAGTTACCACTGCACACTGACTAAATGAATTTTTCTAAGACTGAATAGAGTTAAGTTGGCAAGAACTTGGAGCAACTTATGCTCCCACAGGCTGGTAGCCATGTAAAGTAGCACAACCACTTTAGAAGCAGTTTGGTAGGCTGGGGAAGTGGCTCAGTGGTAAGCACTTGCCTAGCATGTACAAGGCCCTGAGTTTGATCCCCAGCACCACCAAAAAAAAAAAGAGAACAAGCTTGGTGGTTTCTTTTTTTTCTTTTTTATTTAAAAGAGAGAGAGAGAATTTATATATATATATATATATATATATTTTTCTTTTTTTTTTTTTTTTTTTTTATTTATTAAGTTTTTCGGCGGACACAACATCTTTGTATGTGGTGCTGAGGATTGAACCCGGGCCGCACGTATGCCAGGCGAGCACGCTACTGCTTGAGCCACATCCCCAGCCCCAAAAGAAAGGAATCTTTTTTTTTTTTTTTGTGGTGCTGGGGGTTCTTTTTTGTGGTGCTGGGGGTTAGAACCTAGGGCCTTATGCATGTGAAGCAAGCACTCTACCAACTGAGCTATATCCCCAGCCCTTGGTGGTTTCTTAAAAGTGAAAATTATACCTGCTATATGATGCAGCATTCTATGACTAAATATCTATTCAAATAGAAAAAAACATGCTCTCACACAGACTTGTACACAGATATTCATAGCTTTATTTGTAATAATCAAAAAAATACATAATTAACTGAAATGATCATCAGTAAAATACTACTTAGCTATATAAAGAAACAAACTTGATATGTGGCAATATTCATGCTTAGGAGTAGGATTTGGGGGAGAATCAATTTCAGCTATCTCTTATAGCTGAAAATGTTCTTTTCTAAAGATGTGAACTGAAAAATCTTTTTTGAATATGATGAATGTTATGGAATCAATATCGTTACTTAGGTGCTATGGCTCCTTTAAGTTTAAAAACAAATTGAAGTTGCAAACAAGGTCTGTATGCTTAAAAATATCAAAACGGTGAAGCTGTGAAAAGTTTTGGGCCACCCATAAATATGAAATAAGATGAACAAGGGCAGAGAGGGAAGTGTAAAATAAGGCTCTGCGGGGATTTCAAGTCTTACAAATTAACATTTGAGCCTTAATTTGCTCTAAGGGGGTCAGTGTTTTCACATTTAAAAACAGTATTCAGCCATGGGAAAAGTGTCTTTGTCTACTACAGAAAAGGGAAGAGGGAATTATGACAGTGCCAGCATATGTAAGGTGGTATTAGGCAAAAGGCAGCCTTCTCTGCAGCTCTGTGGCCGTGCTGCCATCCTTCTGTAACAGAGGAGGAACTAAGGGTTAGTGATAGTTCATAGCCTGTCCAAGAGCTAACGCAAGGCTGAGCTCAGATTTGAGCCCAGGTCTGAGACTCCAGATTCCTGATTGCGTGTTTGAAAAGTCATCAACTGTGGACTTCCTATTGCTTTAGCAGTTTGCCCGACCCCCTTTCCTTTGCATCCTTGGGATAGTGGAAGGTTTTTGGATATTGTAAATTTGTTTCAATAAAAAGTTTGTAACTGTTTATGACAGAAGTGCTGTCTCTGGACCAGGAACATCAACATTGCCTTGCTTGGGAACTTACTAGAAATGCAGAATTCTCAGGCACTACTCCTGACCTCCCATGCAGAAACTCAAGACATACCACTTGCAAAGAGAGGAGGAACATATTCTCAAACCATCAGGAAGACCTTTTGGAGAATTTCCTACTGTGACTGCTGTAAAAATTCTGTGCATTATTATAACTGCAAATAGTAAAGTATTTTTATCTTGAGTGTGTTGCTGGTAACCTTTTTTTTTAAAAAAAAAAAAAAACTTAAAATACCTCTGTGTTCTTGAAAGCTGAATAAATTCACACAGTATTTGGTCTCTCACAAAGTACCTTCGAGAAGCTCTTATTGTATGTTCCCTTGTTTTGTGCCCTTGTGAAGTATTTAAGCATAGAGTGATTTTAGTGCCAGACTTACCTGATAATATGCTATGACCTGAGAAGAGCTTACAAAAGAGTGCTTTTATTGACTTTATAAATTAAGCACCTGGTATTTCAGCTCACTTGGCCTTTTGTCCTTCTGGAACAATAATTTCCTTCTGGAACAATTAATGCATGTTTAATGGATATTTGTGTTGAACTGGGTAACTCACAGATTCTCTCATAGGAATTTTTAAGTCAGATTCCCACTTAAATTTTGTCACCATTGACCACATTAATTGCATTAAGTGATCAAATTAAACATTACCTAAAATGAAAAAAATGTGATTTTTGAATTTAAAAACTCCCAGAAACTCTATATTTCAGTGTTTTTTAATATATTTTTTTAAATTTTTATTTCAAATGCAGTATTATGAACATTAAGAAACTAGAAAATGCAGATACGCCAAAAATAAATAATAAAAAGATCCCCATTCCATCACCCACTGATTATCACTATTAAATTCCTTTTTAAAAATATTTTATTCGTGCATTATAATTACACATAATAGTGACATTCATTTGGATATATTTGTATCTGCGCATAGCATAATTTTGTCGATTTCATCCCCCCTTAACTTCCTTTTCCCTTCCCCTATTCTCATCCTCAATGCCACTGGCTTCCCTTTTATGAGAATATATTTCTAAAGTGCTAAACCTTTGCAGGGGAATGAGTAGCATGACTAACTTACCTATTGCTGTCAATCTTAGATAAGAATGAACAGTTTCATGATAAATTTTGTATTTTTATGCATTGCTTGATGTTTTTGTATATTTTAAACTTTGAAAGAAAAATAC